TTTTTGGGTTTTTCATGGCGGCTTGTAATTTGCTAGGTGACTACGACAACTCTCTTAGCGTGAATGGCACAGAGATTGGTATCCTCAAAGAGCCCCACGAGATACGCCTCGGCAGCCTCCTAGAGAGCAACGACTGCACTGCTCTGGAACCTGAGATCGGTCTTGAAATCCTAAGCGATCTCTCGCACAAGGCTCTGGAACGGAAGCTTTCGGATCAAGAGCTCAGTACTCTTCTGGTACTTCCTGATCTCTCTCAAAGCCACAGTTCCTGGCCTGAAACGGTGAGGCTTCTTCACTCCTCCGGTGGCCGGTGCTGATTTACGAGCAACCTTGGCGGCAAGCTGCTTCCTCGGCGCCTTGCCTCCGGTCGACTTCCTGGCTGTTTGCTTAGTACGAGCCATCTCAAGGAACAACAGTGAGATTCTAAGGAATTTTGGGAGAGGGGGGAAGCGGGAACTTTCGAAATTTGCGGCGCTTCTCATTGCCGTCGGTGAGAAGAGAGAGTGCAGACCAAATTCAATTCAAAATTGAAATTCAAGAGTTTTAGGGTGAAATTGAAATACACATATTTTACTCTTGGGAATTACATTGTTAAAATACATGTATTTCATCCAAATTTAATTACATTTTATTTAGGTAAAAACAAACAATAAAATTGAATTTGAGTACTCTAAATTCAAATACACACTGCAAAATTCAAGTTGCCAAACAGAGCATTAGAGATCTAAAGATAACTATATATACTAATAGTAGCCAAGAATCCTAATTCAATACTAATTTAAACTTCTTATAACCTACTAATTCTAGTGCTAATCAGAAATCACAAGCTATCCACATGACTTTCCTAAAATTAAAACTTAGACTCCAAATAAAACTCAAACTAAAACAAGTAATTGAAAAAATAAAAACTTCATGCTCCCGCATCATTCTCCCCAGGTTGGAAATTTAGCTTGGTTCAAATTGAAAGACTGGTCAGCTTTAACATGTTATCTGGACCAATTTTTCCGAATTTTCTCTCTGCAATCCAGGTGCTGTCAAATGTATATTCATCTGGAGCAGTTTTCTTCTGGGAAGTCCTCCAAAAATGTCCCTTAAACTTTACACCCCTATAACGAACAATGGATGTTGGAATATGTCGTAGTCTCATCAATTCTTCCAAAAATAAATCAACAACTTGTGTGGCATCTGAAATTTTAGAACAAAGAAAGAAGTCTGCTGTTTTTTTGTATAATTCAAACTTTTAGGTAGGCAGATTAGTTAAACTTGTAACAAAATCAAAATCATGTTGAATATTCAACATTGACAGCATCCCTTTTGGTAATTCCTTATTTTTTGACCCTTTAATCTCTTCTAATGGCTGCAGATTTTCATTAGGTTGCATAGAATTTTCTGCTTTTTGTTCTTTTCCCAACAGCTTATTTAGAACAGCATATATGATTCCTGCCTCTTGACTTTTAGCTTCAAATTTCTCAGCATTGCTGTCAGCTAGAGATTTTTTTTCTTGATCATCTTCCCTTAAAGAATGACTCCTCCAATCTTGTCCTTCTTCTTTTGTTGTTGTCATCACTCTCCTAATCACCAAGGATTCACCTTGAACTGGAAAGACATCCACTTCTCCATCTTCCTCATAATAATTATCATCATAAATTGGTTTGGAAGTGTCACTGAATTCCTCTTCAAACTCAGTTAGGTTCACTGACATTGGGTACAAGCATAAGAGTAGTGTCCCCTTTCTCCACAACTAAAACACTGAATTCTTGAATTGCCTGCTTGATTGTTGGAACTAGATGCTACATTCTTACCTTTGTAAACAGCCCCATTGGTCTTGTTGATGATGGCAGTCCCTCGACCTTAATTATTTCCTTGAAGATTATCAATTGTTCGCACAAACATAGGTCTTCTGGCACCATAACGATTTACCCTCTTCTCTGCCATTAGAGCATATTGTTGAGCATCTTCAAGGTTATATAATCGAACAATCCCTATTTCATCTCTAATACTCTGATTCAGACCAGCTAAATATCTTGACTTTGATTGTTCACCAGTTTCATTCAACCCAATCCTATATGACAAGTTGTTGAATTCTGAAGTATACTCTTCTACTGACATTCTATTCTGTTTCAACATATAAAAATTTTCATACAACTCCATTGAATAATCTCCGGGTAAAAATTGTTTCCGCATCTTTGCTTTCATGTGTTCCCAAGTGCTGATTTTTGGTTTCCCTTGTCGAGAACGCTGTTCTTCAACTCTCTTCCACCATTGAAGTGCAGCTCCTTTCAACTTCAGCTTCACAAAAATCACTTTCCTCTTTTCTGCCATGTGCTTCCAGTCAAAATAATTGTCCAAACTAGCTTCCCAATCTAAATAATCTTCTGCCGTTCAAATCAAGGGCATGTATCAACCACTCTTCCAATCCACCTCTTACCACTTGATTTGCGGTTCCAGCTTCATGAACAGGGTCATCATCCCTTCCATCCACTGTCTCATCCTCCAGACTACCTTCCGGTATGTCTGCAGGGTTATGGTCACCCTCCAGCATCTCCATGCGGGCTCCCATGGGTTCTTGTCACTGTAAAGCTTGCACACCTCAGGACAACTCCTCAACCATATGTTGCATCTCAGTTAATTCTGCTTGTTGGCCATTATTTCTTCTGCCACGACCAGCCATAGCTCTGATACCAATTTGATGCAGGGAAGGAAGGGGTAAAACAAACAGAAACTAAGAACTTCATAAAATTAAAGATGGAACCAATAAAACTTAGGTTTGCAACCTCAAGTTTATTCTTAAACTAAAATATCATAACAAAACTGATTTAGAGATCTAAAGATAACTATATATACTAACAGTAGCCAAGAATCCTAATTTAATACTAATTTGAACTTCTAATAACCTACTAATTCTAGTCCTAATCAGAAATTACAAGCTATCCACATGACTTTCCTAAAATTTAAAACTTAGACTCCAAATAAAACTAAAACTAAAACAAGTAATTAAAAAGATAAAAACTTCATGCTCCCGCATCAGGCAAGAATAAAATGAAGGCAGCACTAATAATTACAATTGCCATTCTTGTAGTTATTAGTGTTGTTGTAATCACCTATTGCATTAGCAGGAGCCATCGAAACATAAAAGGTAAGTTTCTTTGCCTGCACAAATCCTGTAGCCTTTGAATATTGGTTGCAACTTCCCTTGGTTCATTTCTTATTGTTTGGTCTTGATTAAATTCTTCACCCTTTTAGGAAGAGAAAGTGGCCGGGCAATGAAAACCAAAATAAAATACGGAACTCCCGTTATTTGATTTAGCTGTAATATCCAGGATTACCAATGACTTCTCTTCCCACAACAAGCTAAGAGAAGGTGACTTTGGGCCTGTATACAAGATAAATGTTTAGAGCTCTTGTAAAAGTGAGTATTAGTTTAAGATCAAATGAACTTTACAAGTACATTTTTCCAAGGTACTTTGTCAGATGGAAAAGAAACTGCTGTGAAGAGGCTCTCAAAAAGCTCTAGACAAGGATTAGTTGAGTTCAAGAATGACGTTGCACTTATAGCCAAACTTCAACATCGGAATCTCGTAAAGCTTCTAGGATGCTGCATTCAAGGGGAGGAGAAAATGCTGATTTACGAATATATGCCTAACAAAAGTTTGGACTTCTTCATTTTTGGTTCAGATTCCTTTGGAACCCAGTCAATTAAATTTGCAGTGGTATAAATTTAATACGATTTGTTTCCATATTTTAATGCAACTATCTGTTTCAAAAACTCTAGTTGAAGACTACATTAATACGAAGATCATGTTTCATGACAGATGTTACAAGGAGGAAATTATTAAGACTGGTCAAGGCGTTTTCCCATTATTTAGGGAATTGCTAAAGGGCTTGTCTATCTACATGAAGATTTTCAATTGAGGATTATGCATAGAGATCTCAAAGCAAGCAATGTTTTGCTTGATAGTGAAATGAACCCCAAAATTTCTGGCTTCGACATGGCTAGAACATTTGGAGAAGAGTCTGAGGGAAGCACAAAGAGGGTGGTTGGAACCCAGTAAGTTAAACTATCTTTATACTCCCCATTTTTCTAAAAAATCCCTGCTGATATAATTTATCTTAATTGTTTTTTTTTTTTTGCAGTGGTTATATGGCACCAAAATATGCCATTTATGGGCAATTCTTAGTAAAATCTGATGTTTTCAGCTTCGGCATACTGTTTTTGTAGATGATAAGTGGGAAGAAGAAATAGAGGGTTTAACCATCTCAAGCCTGGCCTTAATCTTGTTGGACATGTAAGTGTCAAGCTTCAAAACATACCTTCTTTCCTTCCTTGACCTGAAAAATGATTTGAAAAATGACTTGAAAAATGACTGACGGTTTATAATTTGTATATAGACATCGAGATTGTCGAAAGAAGGAAATCCTTTAGAACTGATTGATTCATTTGTACAAGAGTCTTGCACTCTGTCTGAAGTATTAAGATGCATCCATATTATTCTTTTATGTGTTCAACAACACCCTGAGGACAAGCCAAGGATGTCATATGTGGTTTTGATGCTGAGTAGTGAGATAGCCCTAGAACAACCCGAAGAACCAGGTTTCCTTATTGACAAGAAATCACTTGAAACAAATTCTTCATCCAGTAAACCTGAATCATCTTTAACCAATTAACCTCTCAGTGTTGGAGCCACGATAAAGGTTTCTCGAAAACTGCTTGCCTTGTGCTATGCAAGTTGCTGAATGTTGTTTAGGAATGCATGCCATATACCTTAACTATTATTTCAATCTTCTACTCTTCCATAGTTGAATATTCTAAATAGGAAACTGGAACTAATTTCTACTTCTATAGTTCAATATTCCAACTAATTTAATAACCAATTAAATATCGTAGTGGGGGGAAATGAGGTTGTAAATGCAAGACAGGTCCTGTTTTCGGTGTTAAGTGACTAGGTGCCATTTTCTTCAGTTCAACCCAAAGTCTACATTAGATGCCATGTTAAAAAGAGCATAAAGTGTTGTTTAGTAGAGCTTATTTTACACCCTTTATTTGAAAATAATTGTCTTTTTTTATTAAAAATTTATTTCGAATTAATTATCTTTTTTTTTTTTTAAAGAGAAATATTTTCTTTCCAGTTTAATCTTATTATTATCTCTACACTAGAAATCAATCATGTTCTTGCAGAAACTAATGCCTAACTACAATATTTTGCACGGTAGTTGGGACTGCCCATGGCTCCCAATTGGTCAAGAAGCTAGAAAACAAAGAAATGTTATTAGTCATATCAAGGAAGACTTGCATGCTCATCAACACGTCGTGCATTTTGAGATGTATACTGTTGTTAAACTGCCATCATAAAGGTTCACTCAGTAAATAGTTATGATAGAATCTCACATCGATAAGATGTGATGATAATAAGTAGAATATAGATTTGGAGAATCATGAACTTAATAAGTTAGTTTTATGAGCTTTAAGAGTGCCATCTTAAACTAATATGTATCTAGGTTGAAAACATGTGTAACACAATAATTGACTCATCTAGTGTTTTGATGATAAATAGCACAAGCAATCATGTTGCCGTTAAATATTGTTAGCAACTTCCATAAGTTCTTTTCTTTTGATTTTTTTGATTAAATTCTTCTATTTGCTAAATACTGAATCATTCATTTCTACGCTGGCTTTTCAAAGGTTCAGATTTGTGGCATGGTATTTGGGGATGGTGAAGTCATGATCGATATTGACTGGGAGTATGAGATCAAAATTGCATTGTAATTGCATGTCCTC